GAAGTTTAGAGACCAAAAATTAGGAAGCTAGATGGGCCAAGAGGATAACCCACGTCTTGGTCCTGGAGCGGCACTATGCTTGGTTTCGACGTACATCCTGAGATGAACTGGCCCTGTAGATAGCAAGGAATTATCTTTAATTACCAGGCCTCACTTCAACTTGGCAACATCCAGCAGAAAAGTACAGCCACAAGATAAACCATGCTCAGTCTTCCCTAACCACAGTTAGCAGGTCTCAAAACTTCTCTCACAGCCATAAATTATCAAAAGCCCCCCAACTGACTCAGCACCTGGTAAAAACTCTTCTGAGTTTCTTTCTCGCCTCACAGATGCCTTAACCAAGAGCACTACTTTTGACCCTGAGTGGCCTGAAGGCATCTCTTACTCCCACTTCATTTCCCAATGTGCTCCTGACATTAGTGCCAAGCTTAAAGAGGCAGATCTTGGTCCCCAAGCCCCACAGGGAGACTTAATGTGGCTTTTATGTCTTCAATAAGAGACAAAAATTCACTATACACAAGTGCCAGCTTTTGGCTGTGGCACCCGGGGCTCCCATCAAAGTGGGACCAAGGTGATACGAAGCCTAAACAAAATGGTGTGCCGAGGCCCCTCTGGATCATGTTTCAAGTGCAGCAAAGGACACTGGGCATGAGCCTGCCCCAACCTGTGGCCTCCACTGGAACCTGGTCCCATCCACAAGCTCGAGGGTCCCTAGAAATGCAGCTGCCCTGTCCGCCAGAGGACGGGCGAGTCATCCAAGTCCCTGCCCTCACAGAACTCACTGTAGCCAGATCCATCGAGTTGACCTGCTCAGTTCTGCCGCTGAAGAGGGATGACTTACTTCAAGCGCCAATGAGTTAATTTAAACTCGAGTTCTTCCCTGTGACGTGTAAGTGCTCGCCAAGGGGGCTTGCTCACGCACGTCTGCGTACTGAGCAGCCGCGCCATCAGGCCTCCAGCTGAGGCTCCTGTGCAGCCAGCACTGCCCTCCTCCAGACCAGCCCTCAGGGCCGCTGGCACCAAGGACCTCGCCTTTCCCTCTCCTCTGCTGCATGCGCTGACCAGTCCCCTTGTCAGCCCTGGGACACTGCCCAGGCGGCCATGCCCAAAGGCGCGCTGTACTGATCCTGGTCTCTGCACCCACAGCGTCAGCTGGTACACCACACCCTGGTAGGACCACAGCCAAGCGGCTGCGCAGGCTCTTGCCACATTCATCCTCTGCTCGGGACACAACGGCCCGCACAGTCCAGACCATGACACAGCCTGGGTCACAGCCTTGTGGTGGTCACACTCTGGTGTGGGCTTGGTCTGGTGCCAGCACTTCCAGTGACAGGGGACCGGCCACATCAAACAGCCCGCTCTCCTTGGATGAGGTGACCTGGGCAGCCTGGCTCCCGAGGTCTCCTCTGGGCTCTCGTGGATGTTGGGGACAAGGGCTCTGGAGCAGGGTGCATTCTGTGGACTGAGCGGGCGGTACTGCTTAGGGCCAGCGGACCGGCACAGGCCCCACTCCCACATGCCTGCTGCTCCTGAAGCCAGATGTAGGGCCTGTGCGGGAGGTGCCAGGGTGGAGCCGGGTCCGAGCAGGAGCCCACAGCAAGCAAGAGCAGGAAAACCCAGGCTGGGTTCAAGGGCACGCAGCCGAGGCTGGTGCTGCTGCAGCATGCGGCTCCAGCAGAGGCTCTTCCACAGCCGGCCAGGACCAGATGACGATGCATTAGGCCCAGGAGCTGTCTCAGCCCTGGAGAGGAGGGTGAGACCCCTCTTCTTTTGTGGAACTGAGTACTGCACCCAGGGCCTTTGCACGGAGCCGCAGCTCCAGTTCCTTTTTTATTTATTCATTTTTTATGTATTTGGTACAGGGTCTCACTACACAGCTTGGACTCCTAGTGATCCTCCTAAAATTTTCAGCCTGCCGAGTGCTGGGATTACAGGCATGCGCCACCACACCCGGACTTGGTGGCCAGCTCAGTGTGCCCCGGAGCAGGGCTGGTGTAGCACGTGGTGCTGGGGATCGAATCCTGGTCCCTGCGTTTGCCTAAGCATGTGCTTAGTCCACTGAACTCTCTCGCTGGCCCTATGTTTTATTTTCATCCAGGGTCTTACTAAGGTGCTAAGTTCCCCATGCTGGGCTGGAACTCGTGATCCCGCCGCCTCGTCCTCCCAGGGCTGGCACCACGGGCACGTGGCACCAGGCCCAGCTTCCCACGTGTGCCAGTCACCATGCTTACCGCTACTCATCTGCACTAACCGACACTGTCCCCGTGTCCTCCATCCCCAGAACCCCATTCCATATCCTACAATTCTGACTCCAGGGACCTCAGATGAGTGGACCTCCACAGCACTTCTCCTTTGTGACAGTATCCCCAAAGTCCTACACACAGCAGCTGCTGTCAGGCTGTGGGTGTGGATGGGCCACGGGCAACTGCCCACTGCCTGTGCACAGACCCCTGGGCTTGCTGTGCTGTGACTCAGAAGTGTAGGTATGTGTGATACTAGCTTTTGCCCCTCTGGTGTCCACTCAGAACGGACAGGGCTGCTAGGCCACTCACAGCCTACAACCAGGGTCATGAGGAGCCACTGGCCATGACCCAGACCCAGGCTCAGCAGCCCGGTCCCCTCTGTGCTGCCTGGGCCCCACCCCTCACCTGTCTGCAGGGGACCTCCCCACTCACCTGCCCCTCCTGCCCTCTGTGCCCTTCCTACCCTGGGGTGGCTCTGCCAACGCCCAGCCACAGTAAAGCCTGTGGAGGCACCATGGGGTCTGGACGCTAAGGCCCAACCCTGCACTGCCATTCCTGTCCATGGAGCCCGAGCTGCCCAGGCAGGGGCAGGGTGGACTCAGATCCAGAGCACTATCCCTCGTGAGGCCAGGATGCCAGCCCACCCAACCAGTGCGGCCAGAGAGGGCCGTGGTATGGCCCGTGGTATTGGAGCTTTCTGCCCCACCCCCTTGCTGCATGACCCACAGGGATGACCTGTCCTCTGGCGGTCTTGGGCAAGGCCCAGCCTGGAGCAGAGCCCAGAACCCAGCCTCACCCTCTCTGGGCCCCACACCCACCTGACAGTCCCAGGGATCCTGGGTAAAGGTCTAGCTGTCCAGCTCTCTTTCCAAACCTTCCCCCGGGGACTTGTTTGGCTAGTAGGTTCCACCAGCAGGCTGGGCCCTGCAGCCCACAGAGAACAGCAAGTGCTGCGAGACAGCAGCAGGCCGAGTGCCCATCAGAGATAACCGAGCACCACCTTCCTGGCCTCAGTGCAGCCGCACGTGTGGGAGGCCAGCTCTGCGTGCCTGGCCCTCGGGAATTCTCAGGAATGCCTTTCTCCTCCTTTTCCTCCTCTCTCCTGGCCTGGGGTACAGGCCTGGCATGCTGGGCATGGTGACCAGCAGCCCATTCCTACCAGGGATGCTGCTTAGTTGGTTCCAGACAGCCCAGAGCCAGGGTAGGGTCCCACGCAGCATGGTCTCCTGCACCCAGTGACATGCTTCTCACGTACTTCTGTTAGGTCTAAACGTACAGAATCCAAGCTAAAATGAGCCTGTTTGGTACTTTCTACAGCACTGGAGACCAAGCCCAAGGCGCTCTACCCCTGAGCTACATCCCCAACCCTTTTGATTTTTTTGCTTTAAGACAAGGTCTTGCTAAGCTGCCAAGGCAGGAGGCCTCAAACTTCTGACGCTCCTGACTCAACCTAAGT